ATTTTAGATGATATTGTCACAGTTGAAAAAAAAAAACACAAAACATTTCATTTGATCAATAGAATATGGGACTAAATGAAACACTCAAGTTATAGAAAAATAAAAATTTTGGAACTATATATTGGTGAGAAATTTTATATGTCATGTGTTTGACCTAGAGTTAAGTTTATAATTGTAAAGAAGATAATGGTTTATTAAAATGATTGAGAGACATCCTTCAGATTCCCAATTAAAAAATCCTGCATTCTAGCTGAGAGGAGACTCGCCAAAGTGATAAGGAAAGCTTTGTGAGTAGATCTAATTTTGTAAAGAAAAATAAAAGAAAAAGGTTTTGCGAAGGTATGTCTAAATTATTTTGAATTTGCGAACCGATGATCTGATGTAACACTATGTCCTTTTTCTTATTATTTGAAGTACGGGACAATTGTGAGGAGTTACTAATAATAATGGGAGAAAAAGACTTCTTTTATGATCAAAAATTGGATATGATATTTATAAGATGCAAATATAATAATTAGGTGAATTTGAATAGAACACTTTTATGGATTTTGGTCGTTACACTATTAGAATATGGAGTTTGAATAATTATTTTGTGAATGTTTTCTTATTGAAAATTGTGTCACCTTAACAAAAGTTATCATGACTTTATTGTTGTAATTGGGTGAATCTTCCCCTTGGAGATGGAGCATGTTCTCTCCCCGGTTTTGTACATTCGATTCATACTCCATGGTTGTTCTAAGCTATGAGTGGGATCCTTTTTTGCCTGTTTTTTTAACATCCACCCTTTTAATCTTGTTGGCTATGTAAAATTTTGATCTAGATGTAAAATTGGAAATTTTTTGTGAATATTTTGACCTATTTATTAATGAATTATTAAATCTTGACAAAAGAAGATAGTGTTATTAAATGTAGAGTTGCATGAAGTTATGACAAAATATTATAGAATTATAATGAATTTGTCAATTTTCTAGTTCATCTACTTTCTAATATCTTCTCAAATTTTAATATTCAAAATTTCCAACTCAAAGGATAGTAGTGGGTTGGTGGTTGCCTGGAACATGTTTTACTACAAAGAACAAAAAGGACAATAGGGGAACTCTGTTCATTTCTGAATTTGATAATTAATCATAACGCACTTTTTTGAATTTTGGTGATAATTATGAGAATAATAGATTTTTCAATTTTTAATGTGGAAGTCGTTCCACGCCAATAACATTTTCAATTACTTTCTTTAATTGCAAAACAAGTTTAAGCAGCATCCAGTAAATCACTGTTGCGGTTGAATCAATACTTTTAGTCAAGAAGGAAACATAACTTGAGGAAACGACAATCTCGTATAACACTGATTCACTAGAAGCACAATCATGTATGGAGATTGAGCAAGGCCGAATTAAGGCAACACGAAATCTAAAGAAAATGAAAGATTTATATGACTTACGATGGTCCTCAAACAGGAACATCAACTGGTGGTGGAAAAATAGTGAATAAGGTAAAATGGGTGAAATTAAGTAACAAAGGTAAGTTAAGAATCTATGTGAGCTTTTCAAATTATTTTTTAAAAAAAATTAAGTCAAGCCCCTTTTTTTGTTTTTTAAAATTAGTGTTCCAACTTTTTTTTTTAAAAAAAATAAAATTCAGTTGAGATTTTTTAAAAAAAAAAAAAAAAATTAAGTTCAAGTCTTTTCAAAAAAAAATAAATTTAATTGAAGCATTTTTTAATTTTTTAAGTGTATTTTTTTTTAGAAATAATTTTCACAATTTTTTAAATTTTGAAAACCGGTCTTCAAAATTTAAAATTTAAAAGTATGTGATTCACCAAGAAATCGGTCGGAGAACCGATTGGAACCCTCAATTTTGGAACCGTTAAGGAACCGGAACCGGAACCGTTCGGTTCCAAACTGGAATCGGAATCGAAAATTTTTGGTTCGGTTCCGGTTCCAAATTTTTTGGAACCGGAACCGGCGGTTCCGGAACCGTGGGCATGCCTAGTGTTATCTCTAGTCCTTTTGCAAAATCTAGGATAATCACATAGCTCCGAAAATAAAACAATAAAGAAAACTAAAGAAAGATGGGAAGAGAGGGAAAAAAGAAGAAGAGATTTTTGGAGATTTGGTTTGCAACCAATATTTTAGACATCGAGTTTGCTTGCATATCTCTTTGAATGAGTTTATTAACTATGCAGTTCTACTCATCTTGAGATGGAGGCTGGTTGATTGATTCAAAAAAAAGATTGATTTTAGTCTTCTTTTATCACATTTTGGCTTTAGTCACCAAATTAATGAGTTTAAGAAGAAGATATTGATTTGATATTAAAAGACTTGAATTGAAAGGAGTTGAAATATTAAAAATCTATAACTTAGTCTTTTTGGCCTTGAGTGAGCTTGCTTCTTTCTCCTCGGTTGGATTAGCGAGTGAACTATCTTTTTTATCCAGACCTTTCAGCTTGGAAAGAACTTGGGACTTCAAGGAGAAATTCAAATCTATGGATTTAGAGTTTGGATAACCAAAGAGACTCCTAATTATTAAGATGGCGTTTGTTGATGGTTTAGCTAACCAAAGGAGACACTAAACCAAAGGCAACATAAAATTTAAACTATAGTGGAGTCTGCTTGAGGAGAGAGGTTTGCCCATGTCTGCAAATAAAAAATGATGGTTTTTAATTTGGTTAGATGGACTAATTAGCCAATTTAGATTGTATTGAACTTGTATTGAGCAATTAAATTTCATGAATTAAAAGAATTGAAGAGTTAGGGTTAAATTTTAGCCTAAAAGAGGATTTTGATGTTTAGGGCTCAATTTAATTCTGTTAATTATTTTTAGTGACTTAATTACGGTGTATAGAAGCTAAACCAATTGATAGTTTAATAGGATTATGAAAATTTTGCAAATGGGTATCCTAACCCATGTTATGCCAAATTTGAGAATTTAGTAGGAAATTGCTATAAATTGAAATGATGTGTTTAATAGGTTTCCAATACATCCTAATTGAGTTAGTAAACATTGAGTTTAAATAAATTAAGCTAGATTTAAAAATGGAGCTAGTTTTAGTTTATATAAGTGTTGGAATTTTGGAATTTCATTAGATTTATATGAACTTTGGAGCTATGTTGCATGATATAATCATGATGAATTTTTGAGTTTGTGATATGGATTTATTGTCCGTATGATGGAGAATGTAATGGTATTTTCTAGGGTTTTATGAAGTAAAGGGAGTTAGAGTTAGAAGGCTCCTAAGTCATGCACATAATATGTTTGATTTATTGCCTAAATGAGAAACTAAGTTAGAAATTTAATTATGTAGGTGCTAGTACGTGTCTAGTTAATTTTAGTTTGATTCTTAAATTATCCATAATTGTGTTTTTCAGTAAGAAAGTTAGCCTTAGCAAGGTAGAGAGCTTGATCTAATGGCTAGGAAGGCTAATGAAAGGTAAGTGCATAACTTTCTCTTTTTATTTAGTTAATTATTATTTTATTGATAAAAGATGACCAAATCCACTACTGTTAAACCACAAACTGAGCAAATAGGATAGTTGGTGAAACCCCATTACTGCGGTTCCTAATTAACCAATAATTTTTATGTTGGAAAAGCCAAAGGAAGCAGCGAATGCGCTGAGAAAATTTACCCTTTCACATTCGCTTCCATACTAAAAGGGCAATAGTGCGATTAGTACCTTTAACAACCGCACATGCTGATTTAACGAAAAACAACAAGTAAGTTGCTGATCAAAAATATCAATTCAAAAAGAAAAAATAAAGTACTCCAACATCATAAGTTGCTGATTTGGAAGCCATTGGCGCAAAAGATCCCACTTCTAACTAGCTTGACCCCATAAAAATGACACAGGAACATGCTCCATCTCCAAGGGAGATCACCAATTACCAAATTCTGTAACTGCCCATCAAGAACATGCTACAAAAAATTCACTCATTTGTGACCGACAAAATCGGTCACAAAATGTAATAAATTGGTTGTTAAATTCAATCAGCGACCGATATCATTCGTTGCAAAACTGCTCGTCGCAAAATATTTTGCAACCGAATTACTAGTCGATCGCTAATTAGCGATCAAATTTTCGATTGCAAAATTATAAATATCGATAGCAAAATTTGGTCGTGTCTTCCTTCTGAAATTGTGTCGCAAATTGGTCGCAGACTGTGTCTGTCGCAACTATGAAAGGGTGGTCGCAAATGTTGAAAGCGGTTGGTCGGTGATCTATCGCAATTTTAAATTTAACGGTAACAATTTTGGTTGCAGTTCGGTCGCAAATCCGTCACAAATATACAATTACAAAAAAAAATTAATAATATTAAAAACCATAATTTTTTGCACCTGTGAATAAAAACCAATAATTTTTTTCGCACAAAAACCATAATTTTTTGCACCTGTGAAAACCGACATAAATAAATATATACATATATCTCACAATCACAACACAATAACAATCTAAAAATGTAATTATTAATGTAATGTACTATACAAAATATGAAAAAACCACAAAAAGCTAAAAAGGTCCAAAATCAAATCTATAGGGTTTCTCATCTGCACGATCCAGTGTCGTATCGCCGGGAGGAGTACCTGCTGGATGTGTCGTAGTGTCAGCAGAAGTGACCAAGGTACCGTCTGCAGTATCAGGATCAATAGGAGACTGCAGTGGCTGCTGCTGAGCTGTCGAAACATCTCGATCTGTAGCAGGCGGAGGATCAGAGGAAGAAGTACTAGCACCAGGCTGACCGGACATCCGCATGACATGCACTCTAAGCTCTGCAAGTTGTCTCTCCTGCTCATCAACACGAGCCCGTAATGCACTCATCTCCTCGGCACTGTGGTCGAGCTATGGTCCTGAGTAGGCTGCAGAAGCGTTAGATGCTGAGCCGTAGTAAAACTGTGATGCCTAAGACCCGATGCCATATACTTTCCTCTTCTTTTCACCCCCTACGAGCTCCAGATAAAGTGCTAACTCATCAATTCTTGACTCAGCTAATCTCTCTGCCACTCAGCTTCATTCAGCTTGAGAAGCAACAAAGCGCTCCGCAGTTGTACTGCTAGTTCCGCCCTGAAAATACAATAAATTCATCCAAACTCAATGGCAAGTTGACAGCTTTATTATACCTGAACTTTGTCACGTAAGAAAAAACGACATAGAAGCAAATATAATATTCTTTCAATTCTTTGTATACTTACATTGACGCCCAACGCCACCGTCTGTCGACCGCCCAACGCACGTCTGTCGACAAACGTATGGCAATCGTGGTCCTTTGTGTGAGTGTAAGTAAACACCTCCATCGGTGTGGGCTCACGACTATATTTTTCAGCCTATAATGAATTTTTATGCATGATATATTAATATGGTGCCATTTCATTAAACATCAGTTTTAGAACTGTGACTAGTTGACTCACTAATAATTGAGATGTCTCTGTAGCAGATATTGATCCGCCTATGTGTCGAGAAGGTCCTGCTCCATCACCGCCAGTCTCACTGCGCCTGTTTTGTGCAAATATCTCATGCTTTCGCTTTCTCCTTGAATGCACGGATTCCTCCCCAAGCCTTTTGCTCAGCTCTCCATATCTTTGAGAACGCTCTGCTGCTCTCTTACCCTTTTTTCGCCTATTCTAAGGTGATCAGCATATCGTGAAGCGCATAATTTCTCCCAGGGCCATTCTTTAAGCCATAGCCCGTAATTGCCATCTTCCCATACGAATGCTTCTGCAAAAATGAAAAATAAAATTTCAATAAAGAGGAGGTAGATTAATTGTAAACATTGAATGAAGATATAACTTAAATCAAATCATACCTGAAACTCTTCCCAATAAAAGTCTCTCGCCTCTTGTGGTACGACATCCCATGTGTATCCATCTTGATCGAGGTGTAGCTTGATTATCCTCATAATTTGCCTTGATGCTCGAGAGGATGGATAAATGCTGAGAAAAAAAACATAAGTGAAATATAAGTGGACGAAAGCATCAAAATCTGAACAAAAACAAGTACAAAGGAAAAAGTAAATAAATACTTACCGTCTCGCTACCAAACTGAGCTTGTTAATACATATAAATAATTAATATATAACTGAAATGACAGTAATGACATTTATGATTACCTAGTGTAGTAGGTGACTTGTAGTAGGTGACTGTGAAGCTGGTGAAGACTCTACTGGTCCAGGAAGTGGGGTAGAAGAGGAAGGAACAGAAGGAAGTGATGGCAGCATAGGAGGCTGAGCAGAGGATGAAGCCCCAGACGTACCTGAAGAAGAAGGAGGGGGATAGTCCCTCCTCATCCATGTGTACTGCGTTCTCGGGCACGACCTCCACGCGAACCACTGCCGGACGCATTTGAATCAAATGCCCTGCCTCTAGCCATCTGTACTATAGATAACACAACCTACATATGTATGTATACAGTTATATGAATTGTAGAACATGTGCTAAATATGTATAAAGAAAGTGAATAACATTAAAATTCTTCATTAATAATATTACATATACATCCATTAATTCATTATCCATAATACATGTGGTTTGAAGTATTAAGTGTCTTCATCATCATCTGCTTCCTCTTCTTTTTCTTCTTCCTCTTCTTGATATTCGTCTTCTGAGGTCCTCTTCTTGATATTCGTCTTCTGAGGTACCCATGATGATTTGATCTTCTTCCTCTTCATCATCCGATGCTCCTATTTCAACATAAGTTCCGCTTTCACGTGCAGTAATCGTGCCACAATAGATAGAACTGAGTGATTCTTGCATCCAGGCCACAGTTCACTGTTAGTTGCCCTTAGCATGTCAAACAATTATTGTGCTGCATAGTTTGGTGATTGCTCCATATTATCCCAATGAAATTCTACTCTACCCGCATCGATTACCATATCATTGCATCGATTACCATACTGAAATTGAAAAGGCTGACCTTCTAAACTTACCAGAATAGAGTGGCCTGACCCACTGGAAACTCGAGGTTCACCATGATGTATCCATTCGTAATAATTCGTAATAATATTTTCCACAACCCCATTTTTGCATAACTGAACGTTTCATTGTATCGATAATCTAAAAGGCTCTATTTTGACACTTCTTTCTGATTACATGGACACCTCAACTTATTACCATCCATACTCACTGGGATTACCACTGCAAACTGTATAAAACGATTCAATCCCTTGCAAAAATTCTTGTCTTAATATCCCATTGGACCTCGTACCTCCAGTACAATCCAATCTCGGATTAGTTCCCGTATTTTTTTACCTAAATTAACACTCTGTTTATAAAGGGCAAATTTAATATATAATCTGCATTAGTCCTAAAATCATGCCAAAAATGCCAAAAGTAATATTCCATTTACATTTCTAAAACTTATATTTCTAACGAAGGTTAAACTATAATATATATATATATACTATATATATATATAATATATATATATATATATATAATTATATATAATATTATATACTTACTGTAATATCAGTAAGTGTACCATTCCTCATATTCAGTTTTTTAAAAAAATTTTTTCGGCAGCACTTCAGCATAACATAATCAATTCTCAAGTCAAAACACACTAATATAAACACTTCTCTATCATCCCAACATCCACCAAAGTCAAAATGGCCACTAATAGGCCTCCAACTCAAACACATCATTCATGTGATTTTCATTCCAAATGAAAACAAACGGAGTCTAAGTCTATGTTTGGAGTAATTAGTATTTGATAATAATGAGCCACAGCAAGGACAAAATAATACACAAAATGAACTTTATATAATCAAACTTTTGTTCTTCAATATTAAAATTCATAAAAATGTAACTGTAACTGTCAAAATGAACTTAAATAAATCCCAAAAAAATAAAAAAAAAATAGTCGGAGTTAATTGCATTTCAAATGACATGTAACTCTCATACACAACACATAAGATATGAAAATGAAAACAGAGCATTTGACACTAAAGCAAGGATTGATATAAAATCTAGTCATATTTATATGATATTATAGTCCAGTCGAATAAGTAGACTTTGGTTTCGGTTTAAGTTTAAATTAATCATAATAAATCTTCCGACACTTTGGTTTGGTTTGGTTTGGTTTGGTTTGATTTGGATTGATGAACTTAATTTATAATACTTTGTGAAAGACTTGGTTTGTTTGCTCTTATGGTTTATAAATGTGGTGACATTTGTGTAATTTATGCATGTACGTCAATGTTTGAAAAGGGTCAGTTTCATGCATAACTTAATAAACAGAATCTAGCACTAGATCCTATACAGACACTTTGCTCAACACGCCACCTACAATTAAACTTTGCTTTATCTATCTTAATCCAAAAATATTAATTAAAAAACCCATAATTATTTTTGTTTTGTTTCTAATATTAGGAATAATTATACTTTTGTTTTATTTCTAATAATGTTTTTGCTAAGGAACTTTCCAAAGTGAAATGATCACTTGTGAAAGTAATTACCTATGTGTTATTATTGCTAATCAAAGTTTTGAATGAGAAATGTAGCCAATAGGAAATGCTCATTTTTTAGTCCCATGTTTGATAAGTGGTTTGCAATTATATTAATGGAAAATCTAATGCTATTAAAGAATTATAAACTATAAAAAGTAGGCAGATCGCATTAGATTGTGATGATTTTTTCAGATTAGCTTCATTTTTGGACCCATCTAATGGAATGTTGCTTATCAATTCTGTGTATTGAAAAAAGTCTATTGAATTGGATTTAATTTAACTTGATTTTGGTAAATTTTTTTCCTTATTATTATTAATCTCTAATAAAATTGATTTGATTGCTGATAAAAAAAAGAGAGTTTACATGACATATGAAAATTATAGACACTAAAGGATGAAAATTTCACTTGATCAGAAAAGGGTAAGTTAGATACAAGTCATGCAATTTCAAGATTAGAAAAATATTTTCAGAGTTGAACGAAATACACATTCAAAAAAATGAAATACACAAAATGAAAAAAGAAAACAAACGAAATACACATTCAAAAAAAATGAAATACACAAAAAACGAAATTGGTCACAATGCTCATTCACATTCAAAACGAAATACACAAAAACAAGAACAGCAAGACGCATACCTGACCAAGCGAACGGGAACCAAGAAGGAGGAACAAAGCGGTCACTCTGGGGATACTCTCCATAGAGGACAAAGCCGTGAGAGGTCACTCTGGGGATACCCCAAAGCGGACAATATTCAGCCATGTCAAGAACCATGACAATTGGTATCAGAGCCGAGACCTCGTCCCTCTGGCCGGTGGTGGGGCAAACCTGTGGGGCCAAAACCTCAGCGAGGGCGCTGAGTCCCCAAGGGGGTGAGCGGTGGCAAGTGCACTCCAATGGGCTTGAGCGATGGCTGTGCACCTCACCCTTAGGCGAATCCACACATCGGCTAAGCACGAGGAGGAAAAGTGATGTACACAAGAGGGGCTGGTTCCTTGAATGGTAAGGACGCGTTTTGGTGGTGAATGGCTGAGAGTTGGAAAGAACTCCAGGGTTAGCGTGCTCGCGTTAACGGAAATCCTAGGATGGGTGAACCCTCTCTGGGAAGTTTTCCCATTTGCCCCCAAGAACAATCCGTGAGGGTGACCTCGTACGGAAGGGCCCAAAAGCGGCAATAATTCAGCCATGTCAAGAACCATACAATCTAGCGTGGCAAGTGCGACTTCCAACGTGGGCTTGGAGCGTGGCTGTGCACTCACCTTAGGCGAATCCCCACTCGCTAAGCACGAGAGGAAGTGATTCATAAGAGGGGTGGGTTCCCTTGATGGTAGGACGCGTTTTGGTGGTGAAATGGCTGGAGAGTTGGAGAACTCCAGGGTTAAGCGTGCCTCGCTTTAACGGAAATCCTAGGGACTCAACTCAATGCAAGACTCGACTCAATGCAAAGACTCAACTCGGTAGGATGTCACACTGGGTGATCAGGCCAATCCACTACCATCAGGTATTACTCTATTCCCTAGCTTAAGGGTTGATACCAACTCTGGCCCCTATAGGTATTGTGATGGGTTCATCCTACTATCCACTACTTTCACGCTGAGTCCCCAAGGGGGGGTGAGCGGTGGCTGTGAGCGGTGGTTGTAGTGACAGTGCACTCACAGTGTACTCACCTTAGGCGAATCCCATGTAACATCCCTTCCCGGTCCACCCGTTAACCCGAATGAACCGACGCGTTTTGGGCTAGGAGGTGGTTCTCTGGCCCAAATGGCTGGAGAGGTTGAGAACTCCAGGGTTAAGCGTGCTCGCTTAACGGAAATCCTAGGATGGGTGACCTCCTGGGAAGTTTCCCATTTGCCCCCAAGAACAAATCCGTGAGGGCGACCTCGTACGGAAGGGCCCAAAGCGGACAATATTCAGCCATGTCAAGAACCATGACAATAGGCTTCTTCGGCGACCGGCGATGCAACAGAGCAGAGAAGGAGTCGGTTGGGCTGGGAATGGCTGCGACAGAGAGGAGAAGAGGAAGGATGGAGGAGCTGCCCTCGCGCGAGGCAACCTAGGGTGTATAAAGCCCTAATTTTTATGACCGACCGGTCGGTTGCAATGTGTAAAAAAATCAGTCGCAATTTTTATTCATGCGCTGTCATTTTTTATCAGATAAATTGCGACCGACTTGCGTCCAACAAATTGGTTGCAAAAAAATTAGTTGCAAATTAGTCGCAAGTCGATCGCAAAATGAAAGCTAAATTGGGCGCCTGCCTGCGGTGCGTAATTTTACAACAAGATTTTAAACGGTTGCAAATCTGTCACAAAATTGATTACAAAATGGTCGAAAACGATCGCAAAATGAATATCAAATTGGCGGGAATTATTAGCGCTAGAATTAGCGATGGATATTACGTTGGTCACTAATCCGTCGCAAATTTTGTCGCATTTTGGTCGTAAATCCGTCAGTGCATATTTAATCTCCCATTGATCGCAATTCAATATCATCGCAATATTGCGACCGATGGACGTCAGTCGCAAAAGCGCATTTTTTTTGTAGTGAGTAGACATTAATATAGTTTGCATGACATGATTAGGTAAGGCCGTTAAAACAAACTTTCTGTTTGGTTTCAATAGCAATAATATGCAGCGGAATAATGTAAATTATAACAAAATAATTATGTCAACAAGGATCCATTTAAACGATTAAAGCAATAAAATAGTTTAGAATAATACCTCTTTTGCAAATTCTTCAAAACTTCAATCTATGCGGCTAGGTTGTCGCAAACCACAAGCCGTCCAAGTGTCTGGCCTTTAGTAACATCCGCACGAATGGATAATCAAAAATCTCTAAAACT